ATTGTACATTTGTACATGATAACTGTTCACAAGTGACCATATTGTGTCATGTGTTCGAATAATAGCCAGATGTTGCAGTATAATGATATGTTGAGCCGTGACACGACAATGTTCTTATCGTTCTTTTTCAACTCTTCGTGTTTATAAGGAAACAAAAGTAAGATAATTCAACGAGAAATATCACAAACAAGTTTCAACAATAATGACTTCAGCTTCATCTTTTTTTTGACATTATTTATACATTCGTCTAATAATGTGCTTAATTTATCTATAGTTTTTACTTTGATGTTTTTAAGAGAAAATGATTGACTACTTCTTTCTAAATTGACTTGTTTACAAATTTGACAGTCTTCATTACTAGTATACTTCCATGTTCGAAATGGATTCAAGCATGTATACGAAGTACTTGTGGAACTGTTTGATAAACATAGATTATGAAGTATGACTTGTGTACAAGTTGATCAGAAAAGTTCGTCTAGGAGAACAATATTATATACTATCGTAATCAAGAAACCTTTGATTGCCGATATTTCTACAGAAATGAATCAATAATGTTAATCTATTTTCTGAATGAATCTGAGGAAAAATTCGCACAGTTGATTTTCAAGCCATGTTAATCTAGTCGGAAGAAAAAAAGAACATTTTTAGTTTATAGATGACAACTAAAGTTTTTTCAGTTATTTTCTCGATGGTTAGTAATAATCAGTGGGAGTTGCAGAGGAATGTTGGAAAATAAACCACGAATACGAGCTTTGAAGTGGAGTTCATAGCGTACCACGAGTGGTAATTTCATATAACTCGACGAAGGATGAAATGAAAAAGTCGGTGGAATCTTGTGGGGCACATATAGCTGGAACTTGTCGTGGAAGTGTGTGCTTCGAAGCCTGTAGGTTGTTTTCAAATATTGATCCAGAAGATTGTACTTTTTCGTTATGGCAGGACCTAGGTCCAAATATTGAGTGAGAGTTACTGATATTAAATGTATCAACGCTTGTTTCGGATTGCGTACATCGACTTCATACGAAAAATTCTTCCCAGCAGTGACGATATTCTTGTGGAGAATGACACGAAGATGAACACCTTTTCGATTCTTCTTTTCTGCCTTAAGTTGTGTCGCATTTGGAGGCGACGATGCATGTTTAACAATAATGGGTATTGTTTTTTTAATGTTCCACTTGTACCATTCGGGTCTGTGGAATACGGTGTGAAGAAAGTAATGAATGAATGGATCATAGGAATTGATTTGTTCGAGCGAGGGTGGTAAGGAATTATTAAGACGGAAACGAAACGGCCACGCCTGATTTCCATCTGATAGAAAAAACCTGTCCTGATTACTAACGGAATGTAGATTGAGTCGTTGTGCGAAGAATGCCTTTTTATTGGTAATTTTCGCTCCTTTGGATCCTGCCGTTGTGTAGACAAGCTCACCGGTCAGTTCTGTGGTGATACCATTCAATTTCAATTTCTGGTGATCATAATTGGTAAATTCGATCGTGCCCGAAACGAGTTCACCAGTCCAAAAAAAACTCTGATTTTTCTCAGCGAATCGATACATGATATTCGGTTTTAATCCACCACTACTCGACCCTATTAATATCAACGTCAGAAACAAATATTGATAGGTACCACTTCGGGTTGAGTATAAGAGATTGAAATGCAAACAAGGAAGACAATATTGATTCTTCATCGATTCTAGCTGCCACACAATAGAAGAGAAGTTACAAAATGATGAGTTAGTTCTATGTATAGATCAAAATATCGATAAGAAAAAGATCAACAGCGTTTAAAAATGGCAAAAGTATGTATTGATTGCGAACAAACATTTTAACTCAAAATGTCGACGAGCAAAATATCGAAGGAGTAAAAGTTCAC